CTATCCACTAGCCCATACACTTACTTGTAAGTGTATTTAATTTAGTTATAATGTAAATAYAATAAAAATTAAACCAARCTTTAGAATAATYMTTATTTTGATCCRTACATTKGTAATGTCTAASTGGGCCTCGTGCCACTTTATGTTCAATAAATTGGGCCCTGAGGTCAAAAAGGTKAAGAAYCCCTGCATTAGCCTAGCCTGGGCAAAGATTTCTATCATACTCTGTGGTTGATGAGTAATGTCCCTGCCAGTAAGATACTGAGTATTGACAACTATTAGAACATCACAGCAAAGTTGACTAGACAATCCCTTTAAAGAATAAAATCTATGATTTGAGATTTAATGAATTATACACAACAGGTTTCTTATTCAAGGTTTGAAGCAAAGAAGYTTTTGTGCCGCATCGACGGGCCCTCCCTGCTGCTGGGAGTGGCTGACGGGTGGCAGGAGCCCACGATCTTATCACTGGGTGCTCGATTTCACCTCCTCAGCATCCTCATCAAGGATTCAGTCAATAGTGACACGGGGTCACCAGGGGGGGCAGTGGAGGGAAATTGTAGATGACAAGGCCAGCTAATCTAGGTTCAAGGCCAAACTCAAAGTCAAAGATGCTAAATATGTAATTATAAAGTTCTTGTTAAAAATGATAATGTAACTATTGTTCCAAACGTCGGCAATGATTCAGTGTTTGTTCGATACCTTCTGTGAGACTAACCGGAGAAGACTGAAGCTSTTTTGCTTTTGGCAGCTGTTATATTTCAAAACAATGAATATCAGCCCAGATCAGCAACAGGAGGTAGTTAAAAAAAATCCATCAGTAATGGCAGCCACTGTCGAATACTCAGTAGTGGAAACACCTCGTGATGCAGAACACAGTAGCTAAAGGAAGAGAAAGATCTATCAGCTGATCTACATACCCCTTTTAACAGGGCCGGTTCTTCACAACTGRCTCATGTTTTAGTCTTTCATTCAACTTCAYTGGTTTTATTWGYAGATTTTGATATTCCCAAGCGCWGTCTTYTTTCATTTTTATCCTCCAATACCACCTATTTAATTAACTGGAGTCGTCTCAGTTCAAGATGGCTACAGTTAACCTTAGCAAACACAAAAATGGGTATAATTCARTCAGTTCTACAGATACTGAACTAAAACTGTGGTGTGGTAGCCGAGAGTTATTCTCAACACAATTTTCTTAGGCTCTCTCACTCTGCTCCATTAACGGTGCAGGGCGTCCTCCTTTAATAATGGCAGGGGGGGAACACTGCACAAACACAGCTCGTCTGATTTCGAAGTATGAAATGAAATTGCGCACAGCATCGTTTACGAGGTTTGACCAAAAACCCCAGAATCCTCGTTTCTCAGCAAAAACACGATCTTCACTAAATGGCTCGAAAGGTGATGAGCAATATCCATCCCTTCAAGAAATGCTGGCCCTTTCGTTTTATTTTATTTATTTTTTCGTTCCCSCTTGGTGATGTAACTCTGGAGAAAAGCGAGTGTTTTTCTGAGTAATGGATGACTCATTTGACGCCTGCCCGTCATATTTAACGATCAGGAGCACCGACTGAAGYGCCCCTTTCTGTGCGCCGAAAGAAAACAGCTCTTTTAAAATTCCACATCCAAACCTTTACAAAAAGGAATGAATTACATTCTTAAAGAAACCAATGCGGAAGGCAGAGGAAGGCGTGTGTCTGGTGTGGATCCTGTCAAAAGAATTATGGTTCTTTATCAGAGATACTGGAGAGGCCCCRCGGGGGAACCGGGGACCGTTTAATTACTGATAAGCGAAGGGTCCAGAGCTGGATGGGAAACTGAGCGCTCATATGGTTGATTAAGTCTCCCTCTGCTCGAGGCTCCAGGGGAAAGAAAATGAAAAATAAAGAAAAGAAAATTTACGGTGGTTATTTTATGTTTTAATTTGATATTATTGCTCTAATGTTTCACGGAGCTGAAACTCAAATAATAGGTAGAACTACCTAAAGAAAAGACACACACAACGATCAGACGGATCTTTGGAGAGGATGTATCTTAATTTTAAGCTAAGCTATTGTGGCTCTCCATTCAAAAAAGAGGTATTGATTCTTTGTTCCGACTTTGTCATCTAAAAAAAATAAAAATAAAAAATAGCTGAAGAGAGGATGAATAGATAATCAGTAGGATGTTCCTGTCCTTTGTCACGTGGTTAAAAATAGCTGTTACTAACAGCTCTCTCCCCCATAAGAATCTATTATGAAAGCTCTAAACATCCTCTGAAGCCATCATCAAATTATGATTAATTCTTACACTCAAAGCTGAACAAAGTGGCTATTAATAACAAGCAGGTGGGCAAATCTAGTTTTGGGTCACCACCAAATTTCCTCTCTTTATCTGCTCAGAATTACACAAGTTTTAGTTATTTCAGCTTTTTGTTAGTTTTGTTTAGCTGAATAACACTGGATGCCCCAGAACTCCATCGCCTCTCTGATGGCTTTAATTCACATTTTAAACCAGACTAAGTGGTATCATCAAAATCCTCTTTCTAAATGTTTTATATTACAGATTCACTTAACCACACTATTTTCATAAAGTACCTAAGTTTAATGCAAAGTGTTGCACACACACATTAAAAGAAAGCTTAAAGGGTGGGGGG